CACGGACGTCATTCCCTTGCTCATACAGACTCAATCTCCAGATACAACTCAGATACGTTTCAGACACGGACACCATTCTAATGTTCATTCTCCTGATTTTCAAAAAATAATTTTGGATGGCATCTTTAAGCTCATCTCTGACAAGTTTCTGTCACCTTTCCAAATGGCATCTTTAAGCCCATTTCCTCAACTACATTTTGATGAGTGCAAATTTACAGGCACTCTAGTGTTCAATCATCTTTTACCTTCGAGTCACGAACGAAAAACTCACCAATCTAACTCTTCAGGTTCAAGAAGATTGAACAGGGGCAGCTGTTGTACCCCAAAATTTTCCCTCTCATTTTATCAAGATTTTCCTCACAAGACCCTTTGGACTCAAGACCAGGATTAGGGTTTGCTCTGCTCAAGACATCTCCTTGCACTATTGACCTGAAATTAGGGTTTGAATTTTCACATGGATTTTTGGACTTCCAATGCTCAATATTACTTTCATACTTCATGTTGGACCTATAAGATTGCTCATACCAAATTTCAAGCCTTGAATCAAATTTTTGCCCAGTCAATTGGACAGTTGACCTAAAAATCAGTTGTATTGGGGGAAAAGTCAACTGTGGCCAATTTACAGTCAAACATCATAATTTTTAACCCATAACAACATTATAAACTCATATGAACCATTTGATCAAGTTTGGACCATAACTCCTCAAGAAATTTGATCAGATCATGAAAAGGGAAAAATGGTCATTTTTAGGGTTTTGACTGTAGAAGGGCAATTTCTAATTTTTAACCTAGCCAATGGCAAATTGGGTTCAAGCATGGATTCAAGGACTCAATGGCATCATATTTACCTAATCACAAGGTTCAAAAGATCTCAAAAGCATTGGATTGACAGATGAATTTTCCAGTCAACTGATCAAAAATCAACTGTACACTGAAAAGTCAAACTTTGACTTTTTGGTCAAAATCATGTGCCAAGGGTCATTTTTCATCAATATATGTCAAAACATGAAACTTATTCACCAATAAACCTAATTTTGAAAACCAGGGTTTAAAATGGAAAATTTTCATAACTTAGAAATTTTCTATGTTATGAAAATTTCTTATTTTTTCCTAACATTTCCCAACTTTTTCACCATGATGCAGTTGGATTCAAAGAAAACTTCCAACATGAAAGTTGTAGTCCTCCACAAAATATACAACTTTAATTCACAAAGTTTTCCCAAAAGATTCTTGGATCTCATGTTATGATTTTGTGAACAAGAGACCATGAAACTTTTAACTTAGTGAAATTTTGCCCTAGTTTAGGCAGGATTTTGACCTATCTTCATGGCAATTTTTCACCTAGTTCCAATTGGTATCTCAAAATGCATTTCAAATATGGATTGCAGATAATATCACAATCTTTCCAAAATATCAAAGAACTCTCCAAGATCATTTGTGGTTAGGGAGAATCGAAGGATTGAAAATGGCAAAATATCACTTTTGGCCAAGGCATTTTGCACATTGATACAAGTTGCAATTCTGTCCAAAGCATGCTTGTACTTGGTTTACAGGTTCTAATCCTTTCTACACTCATAAATTAAATGCAAACACATTAGATTAAGGCTTTGTTCTTATCTATGAAGCATTATACAAAGGTTTAATCCATTTTTGGCAAAAAGGCAACAATGCCATTTACATATAGCACACCTTTTGCAAATTTGTTTCTCTTGAGCATTGGACCAAGCCTTTTGCTGCAAACAAAGTTCCCTAATATCAGGCAAAGTTCACAAACTATGTGCAGCTAGAATACAGGCTTGTACAAGCCTTGGCATTGTGAACTCACCTTTTACTTCAAAAATAAGCAATTGTGCAAAAGGTCAACAACTCTTCAATCTGATAAGCGCAAGTCTTTGTAACATTTCAACAAGTTTTTACACATTTCCTAAGGTCAGAAACACGAGCTAACAACTTATCAAACCCTCCAATACACCAAAATACCAACTTCTGCCCAAAACAGGGCAAGTTCTGCAAATCAGAAGCCAAATCCAAATCCACTCGTGCGTTTTTCTTGGAATCTTTTCATACACATTCTAAAAAATATACCTAAACTATCCAAGCCCTTCTCAAGCCACTGTAACTCCATTTTCAAGCTTCACCATTTTCAATTTATGAGTTTTCAGGTTGAGTTCTATAGGGAGATTCAGGCAAGTTCAAAGCAAGCTAAGCATTGGGAAAGCTCAAAGGGACTTCAAGAAAGCTCACAAGTATCTCAGGCCTCACTCACAACCCCTACATTGCCATACTCTAGCTTGACTGAAACAGGTATTTCTCAAACTTCTATCTCCTTATTTAGGAATCATTAGGCTTAGGTTTGTGATGCAAAAATATAGTCCTCATTGTCCTTGAGCTGTACATATGCATAGAATTCATTTATGTTAATTGAGCTAGGAGTATTTGATAGTTGAACTTTATGAAAAAACTAGGTCAATATTTAGGGCCAATGAAATTCTCTCTGGTCTTTGAGAGTTAGATCAAGTTTTTTACATGGTTAGAATCGTGTGATCAAGAGCTATAACTTTCATGTTGCAAGTTTTTGTTTTTGAGCACGTATGCATGAGTTCCAGATTTGAATATGGAGCGCGCATTTTTTGATTCTCAAGGACATGGATGAAGTGAGTTGGGTTGGGTCTGGCTTGCTTCTGCTTTTTGCACCACCTTCTTTTCTTTTTGCACCCCCTTGGCCTATTTTTTATTTTTGCATATTTTTCTTTTTCTTTTACATTTTTGACTTTTATTTATTTTTTCCAAATATTAAAAATCACCAAAAATATTTTCTTAAGTTTTCACATTTTATTTTATTTTTTTATTTTATTTTTGGCATAATATTTAGTTTATTAGGTTTAATACATTTATTTTCTTAAATAAAAACTTATAATTAATACAAAAATATTATATTTTTATTATTTAACATATAAAATAATATTTTCTCACATATTTTATTTTTTAATATTTTTGTGAATATTTTTATTTATTTTCTTTATACATAAATGAAAAAATAAATAATATAATTTATTTTCTTTTAAAACCAAAAACTAGGGTTTCCACCCTTTTCAAAAATAATCATTAATATTTTTTCTTATTTTTGAGACATAAATAATTTATTTTACATACATAAAATAAATACAAAAACATTTTTGCATATTTATATTTAATTGCACATTTAAATATTTGTCAATTTATTATTTGTACAATGAATTCAATTTGGTTGTAATAGTTGAATTAGGGTTTTATTTTTGAGCAATATCCCCTTATTCAAACTTGTATCCCCCTCTCCATAATGATGTTGTAATAGTCTTAGATTTACTTTTACGCATTTATTGTTTTCATATGCATGATTAGTAAAATTAGGGTTTGTTTGATAAACAAAATCAAACAAATAACATGACTAAATACAAGACAAAAATGCATGAAAATGACAACACAATGCACACAAGCACCCTTAGGGTTTCATCCACTTGTTGCCTTAAAAATGGCCATGGTATGCATGCTAGGTATCTTGCCAAAACAAAAACAAACCAAAAAGATCATAGTCCCTCGATGACGCTATTTTGGTTGCCTATACAAAAATGATCTAGTCCCTCAAAAAAATTGCTAAGATACTTGGCAACATTGTTATCATGGTCATACGATGACCCACGCCCATCCCGTTTAACATCCAAACACAATGTTGTTTACCAAATGCAATGGTAAAACAACAATGTCAAAGGGTTAAAAATGTGTAGGAAAGATCTTTGAGTAGGGTAGACAACTCCTAGTTACTTGATCAAACTTGCAAACCATCCTTGCTATTTTCAAAAACACACAACACAATTTCAAAACATTTCCCAAAACAAACTTTCGAACATTGAAACATTTTTAAAAAGACAAACACCTTTGTATACATTCAAACAAGAATCATTACAAAGGTTTCCTAAACAAAGGCCTCTTTTCAAAATACTTTCAAAACCACACACAAAAACACCATTTCAAACAATTGAAAAGCTAAAGCAAGTGATCTAAAACAAGTAACTAAGAGCCCATGGATATCCATAGATGAAAAGGGTGCTAGCACCTTCCCTTTTCATAGTCTACCCCCCGAACCCAAAAACAATCTCTAAGGTCTTTCCTGTGCTTTTTGACCTTTCCTTTGGATAAAATACAAAGTCGGTGGCGACTCTTGCTAAACCGAAACATTTGCGAACGAAAAACGCAAAACCTCAAGTCAGTTCTCCCACCGCATCACAGATCCCAAGTACAAGATGAAAATACAATCTAAAATCCTGAGAAAAGGAACTGATGGAGATCAATCTGTATGTTCGCGCTTCCCTGTGAGCCTGGCAATCTGAGTTCTCAACCTCTGGTTTTCTTCCACATGTCTGATGGCAACCTCCTTCCAATCATTCAGATCAGGAAATGAGCAATCAGAACCTGTTTGAGGCTTAGGAGAAAATAAATCCCCTTGCCTCTCCATAGACTCTACTGCTCGACTCTCAAGGATCTCGGTCAAATCATCTTTCTCCTTTAAGTCTGCTTTGTAGGAACTCTTTAAAGTCTAGAACTTGTTCTTCCAAGCATCTCCTTCCTGTTGCATCCTAACTAAAGCAAACTGCAACTCTTCTAGATCATCTAATAAAGGAGGAGTGGTCTTCACAAACAGATCAGGCATGGGTGTCTCCCGAGTGTTGCACCCCAAAATTTGCCCTCCTAATTTCTTTTATTTTTGGCTTAGACTTTTTGCATTCATCTGCATCTATTTCATTAGGTCACTAACGTGGCATACATTTCATTCAATATAGCTCTAAGGTTCAAAGTTCAGTGGTTGTGCAATACTAGGGTTTCACAGTGGTTAAGGCGCTCGTATCCAATAAAGGATGATTTCTTGTTCAGGCAGCAAGTTCTGGAATTAGGGTTTTGGTTCATTCTCATTTTTTGACTTCTTCTCCCTCAAGCAACAAGACTATTATCTTCTGATAAACAACATGTTACAGGTTTTCCTTGTCAAGAACTCAAGGGCATGACTTAGCATACATGGTCTTCGAATCAAGACGTTTCCTCATATAAGTGTGCCTATCATTTGATCAGGCTTAATGACTTTGACGTGGCATTCATCCACTCTTCAATTAACCAATTCAGGTTTTGTTTCAGAGAATCATTGGTTGTGAAGCTCGGGTTTTCTTTTGATTCGAGGTGTTTATCAAACAAGACTGATTCTTCTGGTACATTGAATTGTGAATTTAGGGTTTTGATTGATGGTTGTTGTGGATTTCTTCTTTATCAAGCTACGAGGTTATTCTCTTCATCTCAAAATCAAGTTGCAAGGTTTTATTTGTTAAGTCTGAAGATTTGGGTTTATTTCCCTATGTTTATTGGAAGATCATGCTTTGTTTCATTTCGAAGATATTTTGAACATTATTCTATCCATGTCTCAAGTCTTCACTGTGCACCTAATACAAGTGGGTTAAGGTGTTGCATCTTGTGTGTGAGTTTGTTGATGTTCGTCAATGAGAGATGATTAGAGGATATCTTTCTATGCTTCAAATTTTATCTTCTTCAAGGATCCCACAAAAGACATTTTTTGACAAGACAAAGGACTTATGGGGTTGAATTGAAAAGTATGAGGTCATGACATAAGGAATGGTACCATAGATTCACGTTGATCAAGGCCATTTTTATTCTCATCATTGTTAGTTTTTGCTCACAATACAAGTCAAGGTGGATTAGTAGTTTTAAGGATATCTTGGTTATACTTCTTCCATATTTCCATCATCGTTATCAGTTCCTCAAAACATTATATTTGTGTGAGAATGAGCTTCAGTTTTGTTCAATAATTTGATTCAAGCAGAATTGGAAGATTCCAACGAGACTTCGTGGATGAAAACCAAGTTAACTCTTGTGGACTAAATTATTCCATATTTCGTGATTTAGAGGTTATTTGAAAATTATTGGATATACTTGACATCTAAAGATATTTTAAGATATGAGAAAGCATATGTGAACTCATGTTTCCAGAATCACACTCTTTTCCACAAGGCTCTTAAAGAGGCTTTTGAGGTCTTTTGCAACAAAGGTGTTGTTGGAAACTCTAGTGCAGAACTTCTTGCCACTTATTGTGATAACATTCTCAAGAAAGGAGGAAGTGAAAAATTGAGTGATGAAGCAATTGAAGAAACTCTTGAAAAGGTGGTAAAGCTGCTCGCCTATATTAGTGACAAAGACTTGTTTGCTGAGTTCTACAGGAAAAAGCTTGCTCGAAGGCTTCTTTTTGACAAGAGTGTCGATGATGATCATGAGAGAAGTATTTTGACCAAATTGAAGCAACAGTGTGGAGGACAGTTTACCTCGAAGATGGAAGGAATGGTTACAAATTTGACACTGGCAAAGGAGAATCAAACTAGCTTTGAGGAGTATTTAAACAATAATCCTAATGCAGACCCTGGAATAGACTTGACAGTTACAGTTCTAACTACTGGCTTCTGGCCTAGTTATAAATCTTTTGATCTCAATCTTCCTGCAGAAATGGTTAAGTGTGTAGAAGTTTTCAAAGAATTTTATCAAACAAAAAAAACTAAGCACATAAAACTTTCATGGATTTACTCACTGGGGAATTGCAACATCATTGATATTTCTTAAGGAGCCTAACACTAAAACAATATCCCCAAATGACAGCTTTATGTTCAATTCCAAATTTACTGATAAAAAGAGAAGGATTACAAAACTGCATATAGTTATTTCTTTGAAGCTTTTGAGTCTTTCAATGCTCTTGAAGATCCCAAAGTTGTCTTTAGCCTAAAATACATGTTGTTGTGTAAGATCATGGTTAGTCAAGCTGATGATGTTGCTGGAATCATATCTTCTAAAGCCGGCCTGCAGTATGTTGGACCTGACTTGGATGCAATGAAAGCTGTTGCAGATGCTCATTCCAAAAGATCCCTGAAATTATTTGAAACTGCTTTACGAGACTTCAAGGCGCAGTTGGAGGAAGATCCAATTGTTCATAGGCACTTGTCATCGTTGTATGACACCCTTTTGGAGCAGAATCTTTACAGGTTGATTGAACCATTTTCAAGGGTTGAGATTGCACATATTGCTGAAGCCTTATTTGAGGTTCTGGATGAAATTCACCAGCAATCAGTGGTTTTATCTTCCCACCTTTCTGTATCTTCTATCGGATCTGTTCCCGCGCCTGTTGAAGTTGTCGAATCCTTACCAGTTAAAATATACACAATGTCACACAAACATCAAGAAGAACCTGTACAATGCTATATATGTCTTATGGAGTATGAAGATGGAGACAGCATGCAAGTACTTCCTTGCCATCATGAATTTCATACAACATGTATAGACAAGTGACTGAAGGAGATTCACAGGGTATGTCCACTATGTCGGGGAGATATTTGTATATCAGATTCACTGTCAAACAGAGTAACAAACTCTCTAACTACCTCCAAACAGAATTCCCAACAGTGATAATAGAATAACAAAACTCCTAACAAACTCTCTAACTGCAATAACCGGAAAAAAAATAGAAAATAAACTGCAATAACCGAAAAAACAGAAAACAAACTGCATAGAAAGTTGGAAAGTAGAAAATTAATTAAACAGTTCAGCTCAACAGCTTAGGAACTAAACTTCTAACCAAAATTTTCTAACAGAATTCTAACATAACAGAATTTTCTAACTAACTCTAACAGTTTCTAAGCTCCTAACCTCTAACTAACTCTAACCTCCATAACAAACAGAAAACATAATTTTATGAAAGCTCCCTCCTCTCTCTCGTCATATATACATAATCAGATTCATTATTCAGGGGACACAATTCATTTTAGACAAAACACAGAAAAATCGGATAGAAAACTCACAAATAAAATATGCATTCTCTCTCCCTGAAAGTGGCTTCAGTCACCTTTAAGCCCCATCAACCTTCAACAAGAACTTGAATTAATCTGGATTTTATCTTCAATCTTCAAGGAGAATTGATTCCTCTTCATCATTCCCCTGGCAGCTTCATCATTCATTAGCATCACCATCACGACTTCTGCATCAAGAACAACTGCGTCAACAAATCCTCTACACACAATTCATTGTCACCTTCATCACTGATATTCTTTGGTTTATCACCAAGATTTCACCATCTTCATCATGTCACCTTCAGCATACTCTCGCCATTCACATCAACTGCAACAAACATCAGTGTGGCAGCATCATTCTCACCATCGTTATTCTTCATTTGCAAGAAGAATAATGCATCGGCAATAAATCTTAGAGAATGCAAAAGAATACACAATTGTAGAAGAACAATGACATCGTTATCTGATTCTGATAGGGGAAAAAGTTCTTGAATCCTCCACAGATCATCAAGAGAGTAATATAGAGCTTCAAGCACAACGACGTTGCTGATGCTGTTATCATGAACAAGTGAGGAGAAGAACAAGGTTGAGAGTGGCGAGAACATGCTCTACAGCGGCGCGGTATTGATTTTTTCCAGAAGATGAAGAATCCAAATGCAGTCTTAAGCATAACAAAGTTTCTCATAGAAGAGACGAGTGGAGACATCAAAGAAGAAGAGAAGATGCAAACAGTGGAATCATATGTGGTTCGAACGAGAACGTGTGTTTGTTGAATCTTGAAATGAGATCGGGATTGTGAATCGCGGAGTCGATGAAGCAGAAATAGTGAGACGGAGAGAATAAGAAGAATCAAGCGAAGGTGATTCTCGGCGAAGAATGTGAGAGTCACGGCGGTGAGGGTGTTCGACGGAGATAAGAAGAAGGAAGGGGAAGCCGTCGCGGAGACAAGGAGGCGACACCGCCTGGGATCCCTAATTGCCCCTTTTCCTTTTTTTTCTTCTTTCTGAACTGGTTTATTCTATTACATTTTTGTTATTATTATTTTTAATTCAACAAATAATATAATTATCATATGATGATTAACAACATTAAAAATGGGTTGAATGGACCGAACCTATTAATTCCTAGGCCCAATAAAAAAATTTGTGTACAAAAAAGTGCTTATTGGACTTTTTCTTCATGGGCTTAATGCTTCAACCCGCTTCTACACCTCCCTAGATTCCAGTTCATACCTCCTTCTGATTCATTGTTTTTTTTTTGTTTTAATTTTGTTGTTTTAATTCTTCCACCAATTTTTCTTTGGCTGGTTTTCTATGATAAAAATAATACACAAAAATAGTAGCATTTTTTTTTTAGAATTCTTTAGGACTTTTCTTTAGAATTTTATTAAAACTTCCTATTATTTTATGTTTAACAATCATTTTCATTATCATTTTTTTAGTTAAAATCTTGTGATATTATATTGATGTAACTGTCGCAATATGGAATGCTTGGAGACTAATTATTTGATCACTCGCGCGGAGCAGCTTCTGTAGAGCTTTCTTATTGCTGGTGTGGTTTTGAAGAGGCAACGGACCTTCTCCGTTCGGTATCATCGCAATCTCGTTTTATTCCTCATTTTTCACACTTTATTGCGCTCTAGGACCACCTTTGTATGATAACGTTAGGTTTAGAAATAGGTTAGTCTCCCTGTGACTTTTTTTTCTTTTCGAATATGCATTTAAAACAAAAACTTATTTTTCTCGCAAACTTCAAAATACTAAAAATTTACTGACGAGAATCGTGCCTTCGTTGAACATGGATACGATAAGCGGGTCTCTTCTCGATCTATCATTCTCTTGCTCTAAGCCTTGGCGTAATTCAAATCTTAAAGAATCATTTCATGAATGAGTAGAGAAACGACTAAAACCTCTCCCTTGAGATTAACTAGTTGTTATCTACAAGAAAAAACACCAACCGATACAAACTCCTTTTTCCTTCGGGCCTTTCTTTCAAAATCTTTTCAAAAGAGCATATTAATTCACTTCTGTGCTGACGCGTAAATCTCCAACGGTCGAGTTGCGGCAGAAGGAGAAATTAATGTCGTTCATTACAAAAACAAACAAAAACATATAAGCCGAACTACGGCTGCTCTGATTCCCTAAAAAGGGATACGTAGGCATTGGGGTAGGGCCCGAGCGAGCACAAGTTTATTTTTCCTACATTTTCCCCCTTTCTTTTGCATGCATTCTCCCTTTAGCAGTAATAAACAGTAAGCATAGATTAAACACACCCATAAGATAGATAACAAGAGTGGATACCGTAGAGTACTATGGTCGCGTGGGGTGCTAATAACTTCCCCTCGCGTAACAGACTCCCTTACCCTTATCTCTTGGTCGTTCGACCTTGATTTCACCCTTCTCAGGTTTACTCGACGTTTACCTTTACCTACCTGTGGGATAAAAGACGTTCGATGGCGACTTCATTGTTTGATGATTTTTAGCCGGTTGTTTCACCGAGTATACGGCATCTTTAACTGGATGGCTCTCGATCGGACCCACTGAAGATATGGCTCCAAAGAAACAGCACCCCTAGGTCCCAAATCCTTCCTACTCTTCTTATGAATGTGACGCCAGGCCTTCACAATCTGCTCCCTAGCTTCCATGTGGTCTTCTCCTTCCTTCAGAAAGAAACTACTCAAATTAACGCTATTCGGCTTATCCCTCATCGGATAACCAAGCTATCGCCGTGCAAGAAGAGGGTTATAGTTAATTCCTCCCTTAGTACCAAGAAGAGGCAAATTGGATAAACTACCATAACTGTCAATAATCTCTACATCCTGATAAGCTCGATGATACCAATCAATATCCGAGTGAGTAAGTGCCATGACCTTAGGAGCCCAACGTGGTTCCTTCTTGACATCCCAAAAAGCATCATACTGAGGCATATGAGAGATGAACCACTGGTACAACAAAGGCATGCAACAGATAATCATTCCCCTATGATAAGAACTCCGAAGATGAACAGAGTAATAAGCATCACCCAACAGTGTAGGAACTGGGTTTCCAATCATGAAAATCTTGATAGCATTAACATCGACAAACTTGTCCACATTAGGAAATAAGAATAATCCATAAGCAAGTAAAGCAAAGATGGCCTCAAAAGCAACCGTACTCTTCATCCTGGTAAAGTAATGAGCTTTCTCCAATAAGAACTGAGCTGGTAATCCTCTAATCCCTCCTTTAGTAGTCATATGGGCTTCCACCTCAGACTTCCCCAAATGAATCAAAGCAGCAATCTCATGTGGGTTTGGCTCGCCCTCCAAACCAGTAAAAGGAACATGATCGGTAACAGGTAAATTCAATAAAAAATAATACTCCTCCAGTGTAGGAATCAATTGATAATCGGGAAAATTAAAGTAGTGATACATCGGATCATAGAACTGGACCAAGGTCGAGAAAATATCCTTCTTCATCTTCAGCTTCATGAGAGGAATAATGGATCCATACTTCTTCCGAAAGTCTGCAGGACACATAATCTCTGGAATTAGACTGACCAACTCATCTATCTAGGGATCCTTGAAACTGTATTTCCCGGTCTTTCTCTTTCAGAATCCATGGTCAAAAGTACCTGAGATATTCACAAATAGTCAACCTTTAAATCCCTTGAAATATTGTTTTCTTCAAAAGATGCTTATGAGTGCATGGATGCATGATGCAACAATCACACACAAGATCACACATATAGGGTTCATAGGTTCAACGTCACGAGCATGAGGTCGAAGGTACTACCCATAAGGTGTTGGTATAAAAAGTTATCACCTGCCGAACAAGGTTCTAGAGGTTCCCAGAGTCTACATCCTTCCTTCGGATATTACGAACTTCCCTATTAACTCGATAGTTAGTAATATTCTCAAGAAAGACTCATCCGAGCATAGTATCACATGACAACTATTTCCGAATTACTCCGTCATAGTTTCCGCAGTACACCTAAAAGGCCAAGATGGGTTTGGTATTCTACGGTCCTCAGTTTCAGCAGGCTCCCAGGTCTAAAGCAGTACGTCTTCCCTATTACTCGGTAAATGACACTATAGTCAAAGGGGCCTCCACTGAGTGGGGGATCTCATGCCTCCTTTTTTGGGATTACTCCCTCAAAGTTAACATGACTATACCGCCCGTCCTATCTTAAAGTTTGCTCAAGTCCAGGCATAGGTCTTATGAGTAATCACCAAGCACCCTGAAAACCAGGAAAATCCAAACAAACATATATACAAAATATAACACATAAAGGGAAAGAGCGAATAACCCAAAAAAAAGGGAAAGATTCAAGGTAAGGGGGTTGGTTATGCAAAGGGAAGGTATTAGCACCCTAAACATCTACATTACTCCGCAGGAACCTCTTTTTAAAATCTTTATATTTTGGCTATAAAAATGTGTTATATATAAAATGGATGGTGGAGGTGAGAAAAGAAATATATTTTTTTATGATTTTTGCACCCGCCGCAGTTGCGAACCTTTAGTGCCT